GCCGAGGCGAGCGAGAGAAAGGGGAAATCGCACTGGAGACACACGTCCCCGCGGGCGGAGGCTGGGCCGGGCGCGAAGGAGGCAGGGCGAGGAGGGACTGAAGAGCCGGAGGGAGGGACCGACGGGAGGGACCACGGGCGGGCGGGCGGGCGGGCGGGCGGGCGGGCGGGCGGGGTGGAGTGGGGGGGTGTGGGGAGGGACTAGGCACCGCGGTGGAAACAGCGCCCCTCCGCCCTAACCCCTCCACGGTCGCCAGCACGGCAGGGGGAACCCTTGCCAGCGGCCCGGGCGGGCTCTCCTTCCCTTCAGCGAGGCTCGCTGCCCACCTCACCTCAGAGAACACACAGCCCCCCCAGCTCACGTCGCGCGAACGGCTTCTCGAGCCAGCACCCCCCACTCGGCTCATAATTGGCGGGCCCCGGGGCCCTCAGCTCTGACTGGGCGCTTCTCGGCGGGAAGTCCCACATGATATCCCGTGGAGATATCCTGGGGATTCTGGAAGGCCCTATCCTGCCACTGGGCCTGGGCACTCGAATCACTTGATACCTCTGCCGCTCGCCCCCCACCCCCCAGCCCTCTACATTATCAAGCATCTGCTGAGTGCCAATCAGGCGGCCTAGCAGTGGGTGCTACTCATAAATGGACAGAGGGTACGATTTTTGCAAACAATGTCAAACCCCCGCCCCCACCCCGTGGAGTCTCGGGCCAGATATTTCCTGGATTGGTGTGACTGAAGAGTTACAGGGACTTCTAGGGAAGCCCGACCTAGGCCACTTTGGAGGCCAGCACAGCAGGTGTACAGCCAGCCGGACTAGGGTTCACGGAGAGAGCCCACGCCCGCCCGACACATCTTCAATATAAAGCCAAGTAATGACTGTACTTGAGCTGCCTACTTCAACCCATTTTTTTGTTTTCTTCCCCTTTTCTGTCCCTGTATTCACCTCTGTCCCCACCTGGTACTACAACTCGGAGGTCCTGTGCAGAGTGAAGTCAGGGTGGGGTGGGGGTGCGGGAGAGGCACAGGAGAGTGAGCAAGTGGAGAGAAAGGGGATGGTGGGGGAGCCGCTAGACTTGACCTTGGCAGAAAAGCTACTGAAGGGACTCCAGGGGAGGAGGGCCCTTTGAGAGGTGGCCAAAAGGGTCTTCAGTTCAGGACACACTCACCCGCCTCCAAAAGCCTGCTTCATCAACTTTAGGAAAGATGATCCCTGGCACAAGTCTAGGGGACAGGAGTGGTGGCTGGTGACATCATCAAAGACAGTTGTGGATCACAGCTGACAGTAAAAAAAAAAAAATCTAGTGGCTACACTGAGGTACTGGCTCCTGAAACCTCCTGGTTACTCATAGACAGACAAGTCCTCAGAGCAATAAGCAAGAGCAAATTTTCGCTTCTTTTTCTTTTACAAGTGAGCACATTCTCTTTGGGGGATTCTAGATCCTGGCAAAACACAGCTTTCTGCTGGACTCTTGCCGGTGAGGCACTCCTTTCTAGTTTGGGGTAGGTTCTGGAGAGCTTCAAAATGCACTGAGGCTAAAGTGCGTACAAAAATTAAAACAGCAAGCCCCATGTGATGCTGCAAGCCTTTAATCCCAGAACTGGGAAGGCAGAGGCAGGTGTATGTCTGTGACTAAGATCTGCCTAGATTACATAGTAATTTCCAGGCCAGCCAGGGATACAGAGTAAGATCTGTCTCAAAAGCAAAACCAAACTGGCTGGAGGTTGTTCAGTAGTTAAGAGCACTTGCTACTCTAGAAGAGGACCCAGGTTTGGTTCCTAGCACCCACAATGGTGGTTCACAACAGTCCCAGTGGATCTGATTCTCTTGTAAGACCTCTGAGGGCACCAGGCTTGACATTTGGTATACAGATGTACACTCAGGCAAAACACTTCAATACATAAAATAATAAAAATAAAAAAAATAAAAGGAGGATGAGTCGGGTGTGGTACAGGCCTTCAATTCTAACATCTGGGAGGCAGAAACAAAAGGATCTCTGAGTTCCAGGATAGCCTGATCTATATAGCAAGTTGCAGGCCATCCAGAACTAAACAGTGAGACCCTGTCTTTAAGGGGGAGCGAGAGAGATGGCTGGAGAGTAAGAGCAACTGTTGCTCTTCCAGAGTATGCAGGTGAGATTCCCAGCACCCATATGGCGGCCCACAACCATCTGTCACTCCAGTTCCAAGGGATCCCATGCTCTCTTCTGACCTCTGAGGGCACCAGACACTCACGTGGTGCACAGAATACACACAGACAAAACATTCATACACATAAAAATAAAATAAATAAATCTTAAAATTTTAATTGAGAATGGTAAGAACCACCCCAAGACAGTCAATGACTGTGCCTGGTGCCTAAAAAGCCCTCCATAAATGGTAGCTATCTTCAGCAGCCTCCGTTTGCTTACTCAAACCAGTTCTTGGAAGAAGTAGAAGGACCAAGGCAGAAGCTGCTGAGGACTTAAGGTGGATTCCTCCTGAAAATCTGTGTCATTTCAACCAAGGCTGGAGATTCAAGCCAGAGGATGAGCCAAGCTCTTCCTCTTGGGCAGGGAAAGAGGTCAACACTGTGAACCACTCAAAGTGGTCCAATGGTGACCTGCAGCCCAGAGCTTGTAGGAATCCTGTAAGTTACCACCTTCCCCAGCCACTCAGAACTAATCACAGTCCCACACCCTTCTAGTTGAAGTCAAAGCAAACCCCACCCCACCCCCAACTTGATGAAAATCTTGGGCTGATCTCACCTTGGGAAGCCATGAGCCACCTGAGTGACATTTCTGGCTGCCTTTCCCCATAACCCTGTTGCTTTTCAGCCTGCTAGCTCTTCCCTGCTTGCCTCTCCATGCCCCATGTACCCACTGGGTAAGCCCCCATCAGGTGGGGCCAGCCAGACTGATTTCACCATTCTCCAGGGGACAGCCACTGTCTCTGGCAATGGCTCATTCCCTGACTTGGCAGGAATTCCCCTTCTCTTATTGCCTGTAGATGCCCAGAAAGAACCATCCAGCAGAGCCCTCTCAGTCTCTCTCTCCTCCCTGTTCCTCATCCCCTCCCATCCCTGCCACTGACCCCAGTATGTGCAGGACCCCTTCTAGCCATGTGCTCTCATTTGACCCTTCTCACTTCGACAGCCTCCATTGCCTCCTCTCTCAGGCAATGGCTACATACCCTGTTTTCTGCTGGAAAACCCACCAGGTTGCTTAAAGACACGATGATTTCTTGTTTTCCTTCATCACTCAAATCTCTGACTTCAACAAATTCTGTATGAACCTGTGGCCAGAACAAAATCCTGCATTGCCCGTTTCTGTGGCCCTTGCTTTCTACCACAGAAATATGCTAGAAAAGTCAATCAGACTTTTGGAAGGAAAAGCATATTCAGAATCAGGGAGAGGAGTTTGTCTCCCTCTAAAGCTGAGAAGACCCATTAGCCCTCCATAAAGCAAGCCATCACTTTTCAGTTGCGTTTAGTAACCACACATCTGTAGTCATAGGGTTTCCAGAAAGGCCTAGGTATCCAAATGACAGGCAGAAATCTTGATGCCTCAGATTATGGCTAATGAGCAGAGGTAAAGCTTGTTGAAGACTTGGCAAGATGGCCCAATGGGTGAAAGCACCTGCTGTTAAGCCTGAAGACCTGAGCTTGATTCCCCAGGACCCACATGGTAGAAGGGGAAAGAGAACTGATTCCCTAAAGATGTCCTGATTAAAATCACATACCATATAGCATGTTCACACCCATACACTCTCTCACACATATGCACACACACATACATGTTATTATGTTTTTATGTAATGAAAATTTTTAAAAGAAAGGCTTGCTGATTAGCACCAAAATCAAGGCCCTTGGAATAGATGATACAAAAAAATCAGTTTTCCTTTCTTAAAATGGAGATTCCTAGGAAGTTGCAGTAGCTTACTGTTGTAATCCTAGCATTCCAGAGGCTCAGGTAGGGGAATTGCTATAGGTTCGGGGACAGCCTTGGCTACAGAGTGATACCTTTAAAATAAAAGGCTCTTGCCATACAAGCTTGACCAACTGGCTTCAATCTCTAGAACCCACAAAAAAAGTCAGAAATGGGTGGTGCACATCTGTACTTCCATGTTGAGCTAGTAGGAGGAGAGAGGTAACTCAGTGACTCAGGGAAAGCTCCAGGGCTACCTGGATTTGCAGTGGCAGAACAACTAGACAGACCCTGCTTCAAAACAGGAAGAAGGCAAAAACTGACTCCCAAAAGTTGTCCTCTAATTTTCACATATGTGTCATGGACACACACACACACACACACACGTATTTTAAAAGATTGAAAAAGGGTTTACAAGCTTGTTCTCCTCACAGTCCATCCCTGGGACACTGAAAGCCCCTACAAAACTTTAAGGGACACTGTGTCTCATTTCTTGGTAGGCTGGAAAGTAGCTCCAGAGGCTACCGAAGGGAGTTGGAACCTGATAGCTGATGCTATGGACCCTGAGCTGGCTGGCACCAGCTTGTCAACCCTAGAGGCAATGGCTAATAGCAAGTGCTGTCCCTGTCACATCCAGGAGCCTGGCTGGTGTTTGGG